GTATGAAGATTGAACAGCTTCCCTAAAACCTAACCTATGAACGAAAATGAATGGTATTCAATAATATCATACAACCAGTGGCGTCATTTCGTGTTTCAATAGAGGGGGCAAAGGTTTTGACCAGCCCGAATGGGTAAAAAACACCGCTCACAACTACATATTATCTGCTTAAATTTGTTTATGGCACCTTTTTTATTAACTAGGTAACATAATTTTTAAATATAAGGTAGCAGATATTTAAAAAAAACAATTGTATACATATAGCCATATAGGTATCAGTTAAAAGTCTGCAAAATATTATACGGCAATATTTATATTGGTAAACGAAAATATTAGTAGTTTATTAGGATATCGCTTCTGTAGGTAGGTACTAGGTACATAAACATAACATAGGTAACATCACGGTTTTTACATGTGAAATTGGTGTGAAATTCGGGTTACTAATTATTATCCGATAAGTTATAGCTCGTAAAGCATGACCAAAAATACAAAAAAAATGTCATTTGAATTTATTTATATTTTGTCATGGTCTAAATAAAGAGTAAGGGATTTGCAGATGTGATGTCACTAAGTCAGTCGAATTGTCGCCTACTCGATTGTCGAATTGTCGATCGAAAAAAATATAAATACCGGTTCGCAATTTATTAGTGGTGCCTAGCCGTCAAGTGGCAAGTACTGAAGTAGAAGTAAAAATATAGTACAAAATATGTACAATCATCGATTAAATATACAATAATACAGTATATTAATTAATCAATAGTACAATATAGGTACTGGCGTACTGCATAATATGTCAATCATTGTCCACTGAACTAAATTTAGTTCAGTGATGTCAATGTACATTATGTATTTATGAATTTGCGAGTTAGTATTGGTATATTTGGTAATTTCGTACCTCGGTTCACGGTGTTTGGTGGATGCTGCACTGCTGCAGGTAAACGTGTTTACTGCACCAAGTGCCAACGCACTTTTCTTTGTTACAATACTGAATACTATAGTATACTATACAATCGTACTTGATAGGCGAAAGAATAAATAAATTCAGTTGCACAAAAAAAACATAATAATAATATGTTGAATTGTTGAATGTTCTGAAGTAAATATATAATATATAATAGTCATCGTTGTCGTGCCGCCAAACATGTTTAAAATGCATATAAATCGACTGAGATCATATGTTGTATAATACGTATATAATAAATATATTCTATTCTATAATATAATATATTTATATATAATGCAATCACCATGTGACTACGTGAAATTCGAGGATCGGCCATCGGGCATACCTAGAAACTTAGTCGTATAGTAATCTATTATGGTGATTGGTAGTCATACAGACCATAATATATTATAGTAGTCCATATGATCGGGAGGCAGAGGCCAAATGAGAATTTTGCTCCCCTTCCCAAACGTCTATGTAGCATTGTAGCTATCAAACAATATTTTATGTTTTAGGTACATATTATTATAACGATATACATTTATTACTAGGAATTTAATAAGGGTAGGTAATAACTAATAGGTATAAATAATGGTTTTGCAACTTGAGTTGTATATGTTACGCCGTTACGGGTAAAGTACAAAATATGGTTAGTGTTCACATTATCCGGGTAATGTGTACACTACCTGTACCTATTGGATAAAGTAAAAATACTATTTATAAAACGTTTATTTCGTACTTTACTCGGGTATTAAGTTCAGATCCATCAACAAATTCCCACCATGCAATGTTGGCGACACAGTTAGAGTCAAACTACCAGAAGTAGACAGAAGTAAGGGTGATCCACAGAATGTACTCTTTGTGGTTGTGTCTATAAGTGATAATCAATATTACGAATTCGGTAATAAAAATGGCACTCTTCATCAACTTTATTCCAGAAATCAATTCACTGTATGCTCTGAACCATTAATAGATATTTTAGAAGTTTTAGCCACAAAAAAATCTTTGAGCGAAATAGCTAATGAACAATATTTTTCCGGTGGTCAAGGTTTTAAGAAGTGTTTATGCAAAACTAAATGCTTAACAAATAAATGCAAATGCAAATCCAGGGGAATACTTTGTAATTCTAAATGTCATCTAAACTCAAATCGTTCTAATAAATAATTGTATTTCGCTTTTAAATTTTAATTAAGTAAATAGTAAAGTTGTTCAAATATATAATTTATAGTTTAATAGTAATAATAATAAATAATTTTTTTTGAATTAGTACCTATAATTTGGTTTTTGCTACTAGAAAGACTTTGTATAATCTGTACCATTTTAAGTGTTTGATGCGTTGGTCATGTTGTACCGAAGTTATAAGTTTACGATTATAGTTATACGAATACATTATCCACAGCACCCCGGATAATGTATAAATTGATTGGATAATACATATTTAAGGTGGATAATGTATACATTACACTGTTCGTATGGATGAGGTTCACATTACTCGGGTAATATGTACACTAACCGTTTTTGTACTTCAATCGTAACATATACACGCAATCTCGATACTGACCATACACAATATGTTTATGTGTACCTATACTCAGTCTTGTAAAGAACATTATTATTTTTTATTCAGAAGACGTATTCGAATATTTTTATAATATATTTTTTACCCTGTAATTTTTTGAATGGTTGGAAATTAACGTGGATCAATATTATATTTCATTCAAAGAGAAAAACTATTGTTCTATTTGTTCATGAATCATGATTTATAATGTGCTAGATTTTTATTAAAAAATTTATTTTGTCATAAATTTAAAACTATTTTTTGAGTTTAAAAAATTCAAAAAATATTTCTTAATGAATAAAAAAATATTCAGAATGCAGGTTAAAAAAGTATTTAAAATAGTATTCGAATAAAAAAAAAGTATTTGAATACTTTACAAGACCGTATATTATAGCAGTAAGATTTTTCAATGAGGGGGGGGGGGCTTGAAAATTAGTTACAATTTTATTTTTATTTTGTCCAGTCTAATAATTTCAAACGTTTATTATTGAGGTAGGTATTTTAAAATGATAGTAGCTTCTCAATTTTTCCGGTAGAAAAAATGATCTGATCATAAACTACGATCCCCGATGTATGTTTTTGGAAGAAAATTGCATCTATTTGGTTTTTTAAGGAGGTTGAAATTGAAAATGCTCAGTGATTTTTAAAATAGTTGGAGAAAAAAAATGAAAATGTATTAAAATTGTTTGGTAATCGGCTTGGTTATACCGTCATCACTTGGATTCTATTTGATTAACTTAATTTGTTTTTATTTTCTATAAATATCAATAAAAAATTATTTATCTGTTCAAAAAGCTTAAAAATGTAATACGTAAGTTTTTATTATAGCTAAAATAATAACGATACATAGGCATCATGATCATGGTTATTTTTTATAAGCATTATTAAAGTTCAGATTTTGTCAAAACCACAGTTAATTTGTAGTTCAAAACTTATAAAATATTAAATTTGTATAAGCTAATACTAGACAATTTAATACAAGGTCTTTCATACAAGTAGTTCATACTTTTACCGAAAAATTACAAACAATTTTAGAAAAATTTGTATGCAAATACAATGTTTTTTCAAAAATGAATTCATTCTGGTTAGACGTATATGAAATTTACAACTTGCTTACTATAGTTGACACTTGATTGTTGAAATTTAATAAATATATTTTTTTTTAAGTACCTAATAATGATACGGGCAATGGGGGGGGCTTCAGCCCCCTGCGGACGCCACTGACTTATAGAGTACTTATCACTTAAGAAGGTATATGATGGCTGGTACCTAATAGTCAATATACGCTCTTGTAGTCTTGTATTATAGTTGCAACTTACATAATATCGTGACATCACGTCGTCACTACAATAGGTACCTCATACAGAATTATACATATATTTATTTGATTACAATAAAAATTATAAGTAGGTAGGTTAGGTTTTGAAAAAAAAAAATACGGCAATGGGGGGATGATCCCGTTCACACATTAAATTTTAATAACCTGAAATTTGACTGTTTAATAGTTACATAATTTTAGAATTTCGTATAATTCATCTCTAATAGCCCAAAATTGGTTATGTTTTATGATTATAATGAATGATGATAATATATCATATTGTTATTATTATATCTTAATATCTTACAATGATGGTAAAAATATCATTGTTTGTAACATTGAAATACACACAAATCGAAACCTATCGATGAATTAATGATAAAACGTTCTGTAAATATTGAATATTCGAAATCGAGAAATCATAGTTTATTTTATAATGCAATTTAAATAAATCGACACTGACCACTTACCACTATATTATTATAGCTACTACGGCTCGAATAATGCTCGGCACAAAGACGTACGGGAGTTTTAAATTTCGCGCGGACGGCTACGTTGCCAACTGCACGGCGCGATAATTTTTTTTTCGAACGACAATTCGAAATTGAAAATGTATTTCTAAAAACATACTCAAATTGGAAATTTTAGCAATAGCCGAGATGAATGTGAAATGCTCTTGACGAAAACCCACCGAGCCTATAGTTTTAACAATATTATTATGTCCATGGTCGCGCGACGAAATTTTATCACCAACATAAACATAACCTCAAACTATCGCGCTCTCTCTGCCAGTTCGCCCTGCTGACAACCGTTCGCGATCTCAGTCTTTTTGCTTCGGGCCCGCAGTCGGTGTAATGTTTTGAGGTCTCTGATCGCATTATTCATCCATCGTAATCCCAGGTAATTATGAGTTTCCGTAATCGCAAACCGACCGCTTTCGACCGTCAACTGGTGTACGTCGATAATCTGTTGGCAGCCCGACGATCCGTCGTCGGACATGTCCGGATTTCGAGACCTCTAGTTTCCGGTCAACGATGGTCGATGTTTTTCCGCTTCGGGTCTGCGGCGGGTGACGACGATACCCTACCGTCGCATTGAGCCTGGATCGTGGACCCCGGTGTCGTTTGTCGAATGCGAAATTTATATTTCAATTTTTCAGGTGTCTCGAATAAAGTGTCAAGATGGTGCGCATGAACGTATTGAGCGATGCTCTTAAGTCAATAAACAACGCCGAAAAGCGAGGTAAACGCCAAGTCCTCATCAGGCCGTGTTCAAAAGTCATCATCAAGTTCTTGAAAGTCATGATGAGTCACGGTAAGTTACTGTAGTTCGCGTTACCGTAAATTATATCACGGTAAATAATATGTATCACCAATGGGATTTTGCCTCGGATTTTGCTCTGTGTTTTTTCTCCAAAAAAAAGTTATAATGGCTTGGTTCTATTATGCCGTCAGTCTCGCAGTGCCAGTTTTCCAACATCCGATTTGTGTCAGAACTCTTTGCCTTTAAGTGTTAATTTCAATTTACCATAAACATTTACGCTCGTAACAATATTATTTCATCAATTCATATTATTCACAAAATACTAAAAAAACCAATCAATATATTATACTGATTGTTTTGTTCTCTAAATGTACTGTAATGTTTCTGTATGTATTTTTAAAGAATCGTATTAATAGGTACCTACCTATATTTCATTAAATTTTCCTCGTAGTACTTACATATTTGTATGCTTGTCTAATTACGACTGTTGGGGTGTACGGTGAGCTTATTTTAGTACTGCAGTGATATATTATTTGAGTTACGTACAATACATACATTTTTTATACAATTGTGAAATTTTAAAGTAGTATACTACCTTGTAATTTTTAATTATATGTTGTTACACTTAGGGTATTAAAATATTAAGTCCTAGATAATACGAAAATGTAATAGATATTTATTTTCTTAAATATATTACTAACTACTAAGTTGGTATTTATTTTTAGGACCTTCATAAGTTACTAAAAATATTATATATTTTGTTTTTTACAAGTTAAAAATATTATAGCTTCATCACTCAGAGGATGCCACACAGACATTAGTTGTCTCCATCTTAGAAGTGTGTAACAGCAATTTTACACCCAACAGATCACGTTTAGCTCTGTTGGTTCAAAAATTAGAGTGAATTTACCTCTCATAGAATTTATAGGTAAGATTATTATTTAGGACATCTCATAGCTTTTTTATTATATTTCAATTTTGAAGCTAGTTATGTGTATTTTAAAACTGTTTACTGTTTGTACATTTTAAAATACTCGTAACTCTTTAAATTTAAAATACTGGGTGATTCTTTTATCAAACAACACTCATTATTTCAAAAAGTGTAAATTTTTTTGAAAATATTTTTTTACATAGTTTCAAGTCGCTTATAAAACAACGTTTTTATAAAAAAAATTATATTTTTAAATATTTTTTATCCTTATAATTTTTTATGTTTTTTACTTTTTTAAATGACAACATAGGGTTTTAATTTTATATTCTAAAGTAGAATATTTTTCTTAGTATTTTGATACATTAAAATCGAATTTGAGGCGAGTAGTTTACGAGTTATAAGTATTTAAAGTTTAGACGAGCGGAGTGGAGTGGTTCGGGGTTACCCCGCGAAATGTTTGTCCACTTCACCGCTCATCAAACTTTGAATATTTATAACTCATAAACTACTCAACCCAAATTCGATTTTCATGTATCAAAATACTAAGAAAAATATTCTGCTTTGGAATATAAAATTAAAACCCTATGTTGTTATTCAAAAAAGTAAAAAACTTAAAAAATTATAAGGATAAAAAATATTTAAAAATATAATTTTTTAATAAAAGCGTTGTTTTATAAGCGACTTGAAACTATGTAAAAAAATAATTTCAAAAAAATTTACACTTTTTGAAATAATCAGTGTTGTTTGATAAAAGAATCACCCAGTATAACAAAAAACCTATGAAAAGCCCTAGATATTAATCTTACCCCTAAATTTTATAAGGGGTCAATTCACTAATTTGTAAACTAACGGAGCTAAATATGATCTGCTGAGCGTACAATTGCGATGTAACACACTTGTAAGATGTAGACAACAAATGTCTGTAGCATCCTCTTAACAATAAATATTATGTACCTAATATTAATTTTATTTTTAGGTTACATTGGCGAATTTGAAATAGTCGATGATCACAGGGCTGGCAAAGTTGTAGTTAACTTAACTGGTCGTCTTAATAAGTGTGGTGTCATTTCTCCAAGATTTGATGTACCAATTAGAAATATTGAAAAATGGACTAATCAGCTACTTCCATCCAGACAGTTCGGGTAATTTTAAGATTTAAATTAATTATCTAGTTGATTAAATTAGGTTTTAAATCATATTTATTAGTTATTAGTAATAATTATGTTATGGTATTATTGGTTAAGTGATCTATAATATTTTAACTTAGTTTATTAGATTATAATATGTAAATTTAAAATAAGATAGATTTAGGTTCAAAATTACTGTCGTCATGGGGGGATAATTGTAGGGCTTACTGTGAATTTGTGATACAGCCAGTCTTGCATTTATTCCACTTTGACTGCAGAAAAATTTGTTTCAAGCTGCCATAATATGCATGGTAAACAAAGAAGAATCTGGATTACACATTTTTTGGTGGGTACTACCTACTTGCAATATTAATTCTCATGTTATAATATTAGTTACATATTTCTTAAGAGTCAAATTTATTTCGTTTATTTTCAAGTAACTATAAAAAATGTCAAGTAAAAATGTTTTTCTTTGTAAACAAAGAAGAATCTGGATTACACATTTTTTGGTGGGTACTATCTACTTGCAATATTAATTCTCATGTTATAATATTAGTTACATATTTCTTAAGAGTCAAATTTATTTCGTTTATTTTCAAGTAACTGTAAAAAATGTCAAGTAAAAATGTTTTTATAACAATTAATAATTAGAATTAAAGAAATAAATCATTTTGTATATCATGATAGGCTTTGGTAACTAGTTTATACAATTAAAAAAATTTAAAGAAATTAAATTAACTTCTTCCAAATTGTTGATAATTTAAATGCAATAGTTTACTCCGTTTTGTTTTATTTGTTAAGTCATTCAAGTTATTTACCTTTTTTGAATTTCTTTAATTTTTCATTTGAATTGTCAGTGATTTTTACAGTAATGTTTTCCGTGGGATTATTATTGTTTTTAACTAGTTTTTGTGAATATTTCTTTATGAATTTTCTGGATGAATAATACGATTTCTTAATATTTGGTCAAGAAGCATTACATTTTGAAATATAATTTATAATATAGATATCTCTTAAATAATTAACTAAAAAATTATTTTGATTATTTTAATAATAATTTTTCATAGTTAATTAATATATTATAAATGTATTTATTATTTAATAATTATTATGCAAACTATGGTGGTGGAACTTTAAAGTATAATGTAATTTTCCTTAAACCTTAAATGATTGCAAAACTAAATCTTACATTATTTTCAGATGTACTGTACCTACATGTCTTTACATTGCTAGCTTGTATAAACAAATTAAATTTATTTTACATTAATATATGCACTATCTTCTTTTTAGCTCAATAAGTATATTTTATGATAGAATTAGTTTTACTAATTGAAATATGATTTACTTTTCATGTTTTGAACTGTTCTGGTTATGTACTAGAAATTACTAATTGTTATTTTATGCAAACCATTAGTCTTGGAACATTCCAATTTAGTATAATTTACCTTAAACATATACATTTTTCCTAAATTAAAATTCTTTAAAATGTTAAACATTATTTTAATATGTTCTGTACTTCCATACTCATTACATGGTTAGCTTGCATAGACAATATTAATTAATATACATAAGAAAGGCAGTATATTGAATGCGTCCCAATAACATCATCTGGCCATTCTAAATACCTGATATTATATTTCCTTAATTAATATTATTTTTTTACAAAAAATAACCATATATCTATTTCAACCAAATAATTTTTAATAGTCAACTACAATAATTTAATTTTTTTTATTTTTTTGAAGTAATCTACAATCTATACATGTTCTTAGTATAATAATTAGGTCTGATAGGTGACAAGTAAGAATGATATGGATAGTAACACCCTTATTTAATATCATATAATAATTTGAACAAAACATTTTTTTGCTAATTTAAAGTATAAATAATACTTTGTACATGTTACAATATTATGCAAACAATGGTCTTGGAAAATTACAGTTCAGTGTAATTTTCCTCAAACCTTTATGTTTGCAAAATAAAATCTTACATTATTTTCAGATGTACTGTACCTATATGTCTTTACATTGCTAGCTTGTATAAACAATATAAACTATTTAACTGATGTTATGCTTAATATATTATATCTTAGGCTCTTAGCACTAGTATAATTAATGTTTTAGTTTTAAGATATAAGTTAAAATATTAAGAAGAATACAACTTACATGTTTTAATATTAATATTATGCAATGTGTAATGCAAACAATGGTCTTGGAACATTCCAGTAAAGTGTAATTATCCTTAAACCTAAATGTTTGCAAAATAAAATCTTACATTATTTTCAGATGTACCGTACCTATATGTCTTTACATTGCTAGCTTGTATAAACAATATAAACTACTTTAGATTTACTGCAGATTTTATAATTATAACTCATGACTAAACACTAGTATAGTTTTGATTTGGTTTAAACATTTAAATTGAATTATTAAGAACAATATAACTTCTTACATGTTTCAACATTAGTATTATGTATTTTATTATGCAAACAATGGTCTTGGAACATTACAGTTTAGTGTAATTTTCCTTAAACCTTTATGTTTGCAAAATAAAATCTTACATTATTTTCAGATGTACTGTACTTTCATGTCTTTACATTGCTAGCTTGTATAGACAAAATTAATTATAAATATATATTATAAATTATATTACATATTGTATTTATTAGACAATTAAGTTAATATTTTTTAAGTACCTATAAGATAAAATAAGAATTTATTCGACGTATTTGAAATGTATAATATGTAGGCATACGTATGTTATAATTATAATCTTTATTACGATTATTTTCTCTGTACTTGTATAATATTATGTTTATGATTGAGTATATTATTTTGAGTGTACATTAAATGTAGTATATGTATTAAATCATAAATGTTATGATTTAATTTACTTAGTGTGTATTAAGTAATTGTAATAATCATTATAAAAGCATTAAGAGGATTTGGTACCGATAGGTTTGGCATCCCTCAGAGCAATAATCAATAATGATTCTATCAACTGATTACCTGCATACGATCAATTAGGTATTTCCCTCCCCAATTTCCAAAAATTTGATTTGGAAGTGAAATTTTTTTTATGTAATTTATTATTTAAAAAAATAATCTCCTGACGATCTTGTATATAATTTACGCTGATTTCAAATCTCTTTTATATCCTTTATCAATATTACATTGCTACATTCTATTGATAGAAGCAAAATTGAAAGTTTTTCTCTCATATTGCACATGTAGACTGGGGGGCCTATTTTACAATCATAGTTTAAACAGCCCAACCCACTGATTTTACCGGCCAAATTCGGTGGTTTAACTTTCGTTTAACGATTGTAATACGGGCACTTAGACAACAAATATCAATAACCTTCTTAAAATTATTGAATAAACAACTTCAAGTAATCTGATCACTAATAAGTTGGTCACAAATCTATTGTTTCTTACACTACTGTAATGTATTTTTATGTTTATATAAGTGTTAATGTTGTCAAATATGGTTGAATAGTTTTAACAGTAAGCTATTTATGTACTTCACAATTACATTTATGTGTAATATTATTTTTAATTAATCAGTACTGTGTCTCTGAAGAACCCTGACCTAGAACTTCTGTATCAGGTCTATGTTATAATAATGTTAATAATTTTGAAGTTCAAATTATTCAGAATATCTGATACCCATTCATAAAAAAAACTTCAAAAATTCTCTTCAAATTTTTTTTTTTGTCAATTTTTACTAACTTCTATAGTTGTGATAAATAATATAATCTTGGCCATCAACTAAAAAGTAATAGATGACTGCTATTTATAGTATTACAAAATATTATTGATATTCTTGTGTGATAAAATATAATATTTTATTTATTTATTCATTACTGTTGTGTTTTGTATGGATGGACAATTGTTGCTTGAAATTATGCAAGTTCCGACTGAAGATATTTATTGTTAAATAACTTCTCATGAGCTTGCTAAATAAAAAAATTACATTATTTTCAAATGTATTGTGCCTAATGCCATTACATTGCTAACTTGTATGCACAATTTTAATTTAACTTAATTATATGCATAATTTTAATGTATTTGTATTTTAGATAATGTTTTATATTCTGATTTTAGTTGTATTTTAGTCTACTTATTAAATTTAATAGGTGTACTATAGAAAATTATTTGTACAATATTATGAAACTTAAGTTACTTAACAATGCATTTTTTGTTACAGATTTGTAGTACTGACCACCAGTGGCGGTATTATGGATCATGAAGAAGCCAGACGGAAACATTTAGGAGGCAAAATCTTAGGATTTTTCTTTTAAATTGTACGTTTTAAATTTAATTTTTATGACTAATAAAAAAAAATGTACCATTACAAAATTTTTTTTTTTATATTGTTGATAAACAATGTGTTAGGTTCACTTTGAATTTGGTACATTACTGGAAATTAATTAATTCAGAATCATTACATTTACGTCTTAACCTGTAACTTAATAATGATGAAAACTGAAAAGTTTCATCAGGTATTCTTATTGATGTATTTACTATTTTGTATTAAAAGGTATCAAACAAATTCGTTTTTAACTAAGCAAAAGTTATAAATTATTTCCCTGACTAACATTTCTTTTAAACCTACCATGCAGTGGCGTACCTAAGAATTTTTCAAATGGGGAAAATTTAGTTTTTAACATGTAAAAAGTATATAATTAGTGGTTTGCAACTAAAGAATTTTAAATTCTGTCAACAAATGGGGGACTCCCCCCTCCCTTGGGTACACTCCTGTAACCATGAATACATTTTGCTTTTGCACTAGTAGTACAAGTTACTGAATGCCTACGGATGATATTATGTTTAGTTCAATATACAATTATTGTGGACCAAATACAATTTAAGTGTAAGAGGGAGTCGCATGTAAAATTGTATGTTTTAAAAAAGTGTTCTATTTTTTTTATTGGTTCATCTCTGGTTTTTACTACCAAAAATGAAGCTCTGTAATAATTGTGTGAATAGTTTTGTTAATATATTCTTGTTTAAATGATTATATTTTACTACCTATGCTTAAAAAGTTAAAAATGTTACAAAGTATAATGGCCACTTGTGTAATAATAATGTGTATTAATTTATTAAATGCTATGTGGGAGCACTTAAAGAAATACTCGTTCAAAGCAAAAATAACATAAGTATGTGTTTAGTTAAACTTAAGAATCTTGGTTGATGACTGATTACGAACATTTTCTGGTCAAACACTCAAACTCAAAAGTTAAGTACCAGCTTGTAAATGGTAATTTATTTAACACTTCATGAAATATGTAACAGCACTAATGATACAGATACGGGTGCATTATACTATACAGTCAATATACAATGAAAGTGCATTTTCCATTGTTACTTGTAAGTAGGTAAAATATTACCATTCTAATCTAATCATAATTGATCATGTATACCTATGAATCCCTGTGAATATATTTAAGTACTTAACTATTGCAGTGGCTGGGTGATTAAATTTAAATTTCACGTAAACGAGTGTGCATGGCGCATGCATTAAATATGTACGCTTTGAAGTTGACATCGCCACGATTGGACCTCTTTCTATCTTATTTATGGGATGGAGACGATCCTATGTAGGTACAATATGTAATTGATGTAAACACTTAATTTGAATGCATTAATTGAAAATTAGCCATTTGATACGATTATTATCAAGTATATTATATTTATTGGCCAACTAAGCTGACTAATGGTATATCGTACGAAAATACTCAATCTGGTTTGAAAATTAAAATATCGAATAAAAGCCGACGTCTTAATTTGATAATAGGTCAATACATTCTAATATCAAAACTAATAGATTACTATTAAACTAGTGAACTGAAATTTGCATTTCCTGTGTTAGACAGAGACAACAAATGCATGGGTAGCGTCCTCTTAAGTTACAGAAGATGTACAAATGTGATGTACCGTCAATCGAGGTGACTTGGAACGATTTTGACATATTTCTTGTTATTTTGAGCTTAAAAAAAATCGCACTGGACTACAAAAAATACATAAATGTTGGCATACGTCTCATGAATAGGATAAGACCTTTCATTTAGTTTTTTGACCAAAACTGAACTTCAAAAAAAGTAAAAAGTACGTGTTCCAAGTCACCTCAATTTTTGGGTGACTTGGAACAGCTATGAAAATTTAATGTGAATTTCAATTCAAGAAGTTAGAGGTGACTTGGAACAAAATTTTTATTTTAAAAATTAACACAAGAACATGTTAAATAAATATTAAAAAGAAACAGGGTAACTTTACCTTTTTTTAACAGTAAACTAAATATTTAAATAATAAAATATCAATAACATGATAAAAACAAAATAAAAATTCTTTCTAAATAGAAAAACATAACTAAATAGTTCTTCAAAATAAACACAAATACATTTTAAATATCATTGAGGGCCTGTTAAAGTGTTTCGTCACTGTCATTTATATATGTCCGGCTACCCGGTATACGCTCGTATTTGTTTGGAATTTTTGGTGTTCCAAGTCACCCTCAATTTTCTTTTGTAAAATAAAACTTAAGTTATAAAATTAGAAAAAAATGTTTAAGGACTTTTAACTACAAAAGTCTGCTTTTGAAGTGTCCTTTAAAGTATAAAAAATATACAAATCTTTAAATTTGACTTCAATCCCCAACATTTGAAGCACTTTTGTGAGCAATGATAAAATCGTTGTTATCATAAGAAATGTTTGGTTATTTTTTTCGGTGGTAATGATAAGACCAACCACATGGTTGATGATAACATTTATTATCACAAATATTGTAAATTTAATTTAAATGCAGGCAGATTTAAATTATATCATTTTGTTTCATAGATAACCTGATATGTTTAAAAAAAAACCGGGGTGTTTCATTTCACCTCAAAGTTCCAAGTCACCTCGATTGACGGTAGTCCAAAATATATCCAAGAACCGGATAAAAATATATGTTCCATTTTGTGTTTTTTATATTTAATTAATAGATAATTTATCTGTATACAATCACAATGTATTTGTGACTTGTGAAGTATAAAGTTTTATATAAGTATTTTGGATCTCGTGATGTTTGTTATTGAATCTCATTTTGGTAACGATCGTAAAACCAGTTTTCGAGATTGGTGGAATGGTAGATAGATGTAGATTGTAGGTAATACACTATACGTCTATAGACTATAATCTATATACACAAACCTCAAGTAAAATATTAAACTTGTCAAAAATTTACTCACTGTCGTGAGATATCGCCAACGATGACAAAATGTAGCCAGCCGATAAAAATAAATCGAAAATATTTACTATTTCTTTATCTTGAAATTCGTTTATGGAAAAAATACATAATATAATATTATATACCACTCTCTTTCAATAGAAAATGTATTTTGGCAGCCTGTGATTCAAACCCATCGGACAATAAAATACTATCTGCCTTCAAAAATATTGCACCTACAATACCTACCTACTTCATCGCCATTTTATCAAAGAGAATCCATTAGTCGGTACACAGTTTTTTTTTATTTTTGATTTGTTAAGCCTTTTTAAGCTCTTTTGACTTCCACCTGTAAAACGCGCCACCTCATATTTATTTTAAGAAAATCTAAACCTTTTTTTATGATTTTGTGTGGACCATACCGACGTGTATACTTACCTGCCAACATATTTAGAAGAATCGCCGAAATTATCGCCCTGACTGTTTTCGGTCTAGTAGTATTTTGACTATTGTCTAATATTTTCAAATATTTTCATAAATATAATATAAAATATATATGTATATTTATGATCAACTGAACTAGGTACCTACTTGAATCAAATTCAAAAGCAATTATTAAATTGTTAAATATCCAAACTGGTATAGTCTTAACTAAAAACAAAAAAGGTGCTCTGTTGTACAGTAAGTTACAAGGGTGTCACTGTATAATGGATGGTATTACATTTGAATTCAATGATATAATATCATTGCACAAGAAAAACGATTCTGAGCGGAGACGGATGTCAGTCTAGGTATAATACAAATTATATACTTATCTATGGTTTTAAAAAAAAGTTGACCTATAATGAATTTCAAATTAATCATATCACAATATCCATTATTTAGGTACTTATAACGCGTTATACACCAACAACAAACCCTGATACTATCATAGATATATAATAGTATACTTTAGAAGTTTCAAGTAATCACGAATAATATTATACAATCACAACAAAATAACTAAAATAGTTATTCTAGGTTTTTTATTATGTAATTTCATCCAAATTTGAATTTAAAATGTCTGTAAAAAATAACTGTGTTCATATATTTTTTAGATTTTGTGGTTACAGTATGAACTTTTTATGAGAACCTTTGTTTGAAATTTGTAATCCTTAGCCATAAAAACTGAACATTTTATAATTTATTAATTACAATTATTGATAATTTTCGATTAATTTTCATAAATTTTGTCAAAATTCGATCTTTAAATGCATATAAAAAAAAATTGTGTCTATGTATTTTTAATATTTTTCAATTGCTATTGTAACAATATATCAGGAGCCTTGTATTAAATTTTTACACTTTTTGGCCCAACAGATAAAACTTTATTGATATTTATAGAATAAAAAACTATAGCTGAAATATCCGCAAACAGCTCAAAAAGAGTCAAAATATTTTCAAAATTGTATGGTGTATAGGAAATGCTAATTTAAACATGTAGGTAGTGAAATTTTCATGTATCTACATTTATTCGTTTTTGAATTACAACAAAATAAGGAAATCGCTACCTACATGAGAAGTCGATTGAATATCCAGTGTTGTAAAAATTTGAATTTCAAACGGTCATAAAAATTTAATATGACTTTCTTATACACATTTTTGTTAAAGGTAGATAATCTTATAAGGAATTTTGTATTACATTTTAAAATCCTAGATTTAAAAAGAAAAATTCTTACGAATTTTTAACTCAAAATAATTTGATAATTTTCGTGATTTTTCCATATTTTGTCAATTTTTGAACTTTAAATGCTTATAAAAAAAAATTGTGACTAAGGATTTTTAATATTTTTCATCTGCCTTTGAAGCAATATATATTATATATACTAATAGCCTTCTATTTAATTTTCAAGCTTTTTTAACCAACAAATAAAATTGTAATGATATTTTTAGAAAAAAAACTAAAAAAATATGGAAAATGAAAATGTTCCTCAACAGTTCAAATCAAATGATAATATTTTGAAAATTTTATCGTGTACAGAAAATGCTATTTTAAACATTTAGTCAAAATGTCATGTATCTATAGATATATACGGTCATTTATTTAAGAGTTGC